GAACACCCTCGGAACGACAACAAGGCTTAGACCCATGGGCGAATAAATGACAAATCCCTAACATTTGACGTTACAAAAGAATATAAATAACAATGAAATGCTACACCGTCATCGGTAAAGCATTTTGATGAAAACTTTGACGCATGTGCTGTCGTGACTTGCGACTAGTAGAGCAGTTTAACTGAATAGGAAGCTGTAAGGATAGCCACGATATTTGCTGCGGAAGATTGACAGCAGAAGCGAGAAGAAAATCACCACAAGACCAAGACCAATGTAGGCAAGCACTAAAAACATCTTTTTTTTTGTTTCGTTATCAAATTTGAAAAGATTGAACTAACTGTTGTTATTTATTCCAAAGAAGGGCTTCGAGCTAGATGACTTCTTCTTTTCCACAACTTCAACGCTAGGGCTCGCGGCTTCGTTGAGCAAGATAAAGCCGAATGTAATGGCAGCATACAGGGCACCAACGATGTATGTCTCAGCAACAAGCTAAACATTTCTACTAAACTCACTGTTCGAACCTATTTTCGATCATGTAAATGAAAAAGGAAGATACAAAAATTGACTCTCAGCAAGAAGTGTTTGTATTTTATGATCAAAGATCATAAATGTTCAAATGATTTTAAGAAAACTTACCTGATATTGAGTGGAGCCATGGATAAAACTGGCTTCTCGTGTTTGTGGATTATTCATTATAAAAGGTGGGCCACGAATATGGTTCCACATTTGGCCAGAAAGGAACACAAATGTGATGCACTAAAGTTATACTACAAAAATTTGGAACGGTTGAAGTAAAATCTCGTTGAACTCACAAGGCACACTAGACCCCAACTGGTGCGATTGTACAAGAACTCGAGATTATTCCTCTTCATGTAAAGAAGGCCGAGAACGAGTGCAAGCAGGAGAACAATCACCACCGGAGCAGCATAGTTGGGTGGCCGCAAAATACGAATCTAAATCAGACATTTCAAAATGCAAAAAAAAAGAGAGGAACCTGAGAATTTGTTCACAGATATAGAGATGATCAGGAAATCTGCTTAATTTTAGACTATTAGCCCTGAAATTACATATTCACCTGTACATCCGTATATTCTGCAACAAAGCGCGCCATTGCCTCCGCATCAAATCCATGTCGCTGGAAATCCATCTGATCAGGCTTTTTCTTGCCTTGTAGCTTTGGTCCAAAGTGGTACATGATCGGTGCTGTGTTCAGGTTCATCTAAAGACAAAATTGCTTTGCTTGTTTGATGATAAAAAAGACCGATGAGACCAGTGGAAAAACGCACCGCTTGGAAGATCTGTGGGGCTTCCTCATAATCCACAACTCCAAAGTACACCTGTTTCAATTCAGAGTGAGCATATCGGTAAGAATTTGCCAAGATCATAAACTCGTCATAGGCAGGTCTAGAAGAGAAAGTTGTTAACGAGCACGAACTGCCATAAAATGCCACTTACTTGCAGATCGGACAATTCACCCCAGGTGACAATGCCGTGAACATAATGATCATGCTGTAGTTACGTGGCTGTTGTCTTACAAAAGTCTTCCATCGATCCATGTTCATTCGAACTGCAGGTTGACGATACAGAAAGTCTTGCAATGATTTGACCTAGATAAGTAGTGGCTTGTGTGAAGTTAACAGTACTCTCTGTTGTATGCGCACCTTATCATCCAGTGAAGTCGGCTGAGCAGCATAGGCCAACGCCAAAAGTACTGCCAGAAGGGCCGCGACGTCCAGTCGATTTGCAGCCATCGTGGAACTACCTTCTTAAGCACGGTGGATATGAAATATCATCAATAACAACACTAAAAACAAGGTAGCCAGGC